ACGTGTATCACATCCCACAATCAGTTGGGGGTGTGGGGGGGACATTTTACCCTGAGATAAAACAAACCAAAAAAAAGTTATTCTGTCTAGTTCTCATCCCCAAAATATATAAAACCTTAAGCTTTTTCTTTAAGTTTCTGACTCTCTAACAAACAATGTGTTCCCCTGAGTTTTGCAAACAGGTATGAGACAAACTTTATTGATATGATAAACAAGTGAGTGACTTTTCAACCATGAACACCTTAATTAAAAACTAAGTACCCTTAATTTTTTTTCTCTTTAAATGTCTGTTGCATTTTTATTTGGTGAGCCAGGTCTTCTAGGAAACCCTTTTAGCAAGTTAATGCTTTCTCCTTTCTAAATATATTTATTTCTGAGACTTCCTTTGACACAAATAAAATTTGATTTTATTAGCTTGAGCTCATTGCTCAAGCACACTGGAGTCTTTCTGAATCTTAATTTTATCATTCTTCCCAGTTTTACTGATTTACAATTTGATATACTTATTCCTAACATCTTCATGCAAGTTAAGGATTTTTGAATAACATGTTGAAAAAAATCATTTGAACTCATATTCTTCTTGGTATGAGTTAGAAATGCATATATATTTTTTAATTTATATTCCTACAACAAATACATGATACCAACTACACTCCTAGTTATTAGGAACTACATTCCATTTGATAATCCATTTATTCAATCAAATGTTTCACATATAGTTCTTCAATTAGCCATGTGCCTAGTTAACTATATCATTTGTCCACAATTCTCCATCTTATCTACAGGGAGGTCATGGAAAGGTTTATCAAATATCTTACTATGAAAATAAAACAAAACCAATGAGTTCTGTCTCTCCCAAAATCCAGCTATACCAGAAAACAAGATGGATTCCATCAGGCTAACTGAGGCCACTGATGGCCATGTATTAACAGGAGACCACATATGAATCCTGTGCCCTCAGTTAACCACAAACTGAAGTCTACTCTCTAAAGCAGAACCAGTTCCTGTTGTGTTTCTACTAAACAGATAACAGCCGGGAACTTAAGTGATCAGTTGTGACTTGTATTACCTAATCAGAACTAAACAAATGTGCATCTTTCTTTGCATAAATGGACCTGAGTGGGGACTTGGGCAGGAAATTTAACTGTAAAAAATGACCCCTCTCTTTGTTTCCTCCTAGCATACTTTGGTTCATAGCTGAGGGCTAATGCCTCCATAGTTTGAAAACTGCTCCTCTTTTTTTATTTTTTGGAATAAAGTTCACCTTGATCAAATTTCCTATTTTACAGAGAAATTTGCTGATGTTACTAACATTAAAAGACATCTTCTCTTGATGAATTCCTGTCCACTATAACAGGTCAACATTCTTTTGAGATCCAATCTCAAGCACTGAATCTGTGCATGTATTTGTATGGAGCTAATGGGTATACCTCAATATATGTAAAAACTGGGTTCCAAGCAACCTTTTGAAAACAAAACATACATAAAAATTACCAGTTAACTCACTACTATGAAACTATGCCTATTCCAACAGTAGCCTTGGTCATTAGTTGCATCTAATGTGACTCCCCACCCAAACCCCCACATTATAGTCACACTCAAATCCCTTTAATTCTTCAGACACACCAGGATCCCTCCCAGCCTCTGACTCGCTCTTCCAGAAACATTCTCCTGCATGCTGTTGCCTAGGTTTTATACAGCTTTGTGTCAGATCCCCATAAAACAGGCTTCAATGCTGAAGCCCTAACCCCAATTGTAAATAATAATTCATTTTCTTTAACAGACTGTCTCTTCTTCTAAGTCTGGACAGTGGTTCTCAAATTGCTGAGATCCTGGACCAGCAATATCAGAATTACCAGGGAATTGTGGAAATTACCTGGGAACTTGTTAGAAATGTAAATTCTCAGGGCCTGACCGAGATCCAAGAATATCAGGGACAACCTCCAGGTGAATGCGATGCACACTGAAGTTTGACAATCCCTGCTCTACAATCTATGGAGACAATTATCACCTTCCTCAGACTATCCTTGGCTCTACTCACATCACCCAGCACTCTGTATACAACCAGTGCCCAGTAAAGATTCACTAAATAAATGAATGAATGAGTAGGCATTCCATATTTTTCATGATGTTAATGAGAATCTCTTAAGCAGGATTAGAATGGCTCCAGTTATCAATTAAAATTTTCCTGAAAAACATCCCCTATAGGCAGGAAGCAATTAAATAAGCTTCAAAATGACACAGAAACTTTGAACATTCCTGTGTTATATAAATTACAATGTTCAAAGCCTGTATACCCCAACAGCCATTTCCCTAATGGGCCTTTCCAAATACGTGGGGAAAAAAAAGTGAAATAAAATTCTTATGGTTCCCCGTGGAGGTCCCCCCAGAAAGGAGAGCTATGCCAGCTGAAGAGGTCTTACATCAGCCAGATTAACTCATGCTATGCTGTGAAGATGCCATCAGCCATTCTCACCTGTGTCAACAAGACTGCCATAGCGCCTTACCCATGGCAGAAAAGAGAAACAGCCTGGAGTGCTCCAAGAAAATCACATGGATGGGTGTCCAGTTCTCATGTCCTTGGTAGAATTCTTTAGGAGAATGATTAGCAGTCCTGATCCTCACCTCCTGTCATACCCATAGCGTCGGAATGTGCACAGTATGTTCCTTTAAGATGCTAACCAAGATGTATCCTTGACACACCACTTTGATACATGATTAATGTAACCTCTTGTCCTGCAGTATCCCCTGTTTAAAAAGGTATATAAACTGTATCCAGAAAAGGGGTTTTGGAGCAGTCGGATCAGAACTCTGACTGACTGTCCTCCCAGGCTATGATCCTTGGTTAGACTTTGAATAAATTCTGTCTTTCTTCATACAACAGTTGTGTTAATTTCAGTCAAAACAAGAGTATGACAGGACAAAAGGTCCAAAACACAGCCATTGGACTACCTGGGAAACATCATTAAACTACCAACCAATCACCCAGCTATTCAAAGCAAGAATAAAATACCTTTTAAAGATGGACAGTGACTTTTAAAGATACCCAATGGGGTGCAGAGGAGACTCAATAATATGGGTGAATGTAGTAACCACATTGTTTTTCATATAAAACCTTCATAAGAGTGTATATCAATGATACCTTGAAAAAATAAGCAAATAAAATTAAAAAAATACCTTTTAAAAAGATGAAACCAAAACAAAATGAAAATGTTGGAATAAACAAAAATAGGGAAAAATTTAATTTCACATGTGTAATCTATACATCTTCACTGTATCTGTTATTTAGTCCCATTGTCTTTTGTTTACTTCTGTAGGTAGAAACATTATCTTGAAATAAGTCTTTAATCATTTTTTAAAGAATCACTGAGTTTATGGAGTGCTAGTACATTGTTTTGTTCTGTACCAAGAACATGTTCAGAGTTCACCCAGACTGAGCAGAAAAATATGTGTGTGTATGTATTTACACAACATGCCTGTGGGTGCATGTACACACACACATGTATGTGTGTGTGTATTCTATGTATTCTACATTTAATATATGGCTTTACTTACCTCAGATTCAGGTTAACTAGATTTTATCACAGAATTCACTGACATAATAAACTATTTGTTGATATAATAAATATGTGACTTTTGAATACTTCCATTATCACAAAGACAAGATCCATTTGTATATTAATCTCATTCATTTAAGCCTTGGTATGCAGAATTAATAATTATCACATAGAACAAACTAAGTTTAATTTGCCTTATTTATTAATAAGGTAAATTAGCTAAGGAAAGTTTAGCTATAAAAAAATTATTCTAAATTACTTTCAACCCATATTACTGACTCTCTACATATATTTTCTAAATAGAAATAGCCCTTACTTGGTAATTATGGTAGGGCCATCAAGACTGTATGCTTAATTCCTGTCACCTAAAAGCTGTTACTTTGAATTACTATTCTTATTAAAAGTAATAGGGATACTCCTAATCACTGAAATTTTCCACTAATTTAAACTATCCTTCCCTTAAATTATTCTGAGTTAGAAAGGACTTGCTCTATTATAAATACTAGAATGTACTTGGTCTTAAGCTTTCAAAAGTAAGTTCGTTAAAAAAGTAAACTTAGGACTAAGGGTAAGATTAATAATCACATAAATTACACAAACCATAAATAATAAATCAAATAAATCTATAAAAATTATAGATCAGAACCTAAGGATACAAAATTAATAAAGAAATACTGACATCTACGTGTATCATCCAAACTAAGACAGAAATTAAATGTCATTATTTCAAAGATGTAAATAATTTTTTAATCTTAGTTTCTCAGTCTGACATAGGCTACTATAGGCTCTTTAAGAGAATGGCATGTCAACTACAGAGTTTGTGTGTGCATTCTTCCTCTGGCTAAATGTTGTGTAAATGGTAATTACTTTGTTTTCTAAATGCATTTACACAGTAATTTACCATAACTGAATTTGCCTATGGCTACAGGGCACTTATTAACCAAATCTATTGAGTAACCAAACAATTAGAAATAAAATAAATAAAAAAAGACAAATACAGGTTATTTCCATCATGTGAGTCACAGTAAAGATTTTAAGGCTGCGCTCCTCTTGATTTTATTACTTCTGAAAAAATATAACTGTTAAAAATAGCCGTAATTTATTGAGCACTCATTATGTGCCAGGCACTGTGCTAAGGAACCTTAAATTGAGTATCACATGTATTCTCATAGCAGCCTTTTGAAGTAGATACTAATATTTGTCCCATTTTACAGGTGAAAAAACTGAGACTAAGAGCAAATAAGTTACCCACAGCACTTATAAGTAATAGGTGTGAAAAAGCAAACCCAGGAAGGTAGACTTCAGAATGTAAATTTCTGTATTTTCTCTATACTTCTTAAATACATGTGTTATAAATCAGCTCATTTAAGTTTCTCATGAACAAATTAGAGTTTGCTCAAATTGGATAAAAAAGGGATGGAGTTGACTGAACAGAGCTTATACCTTTCCTTCTTCATCACACGGAGTGTGGATCTGGAAATAGTCTTTTGTGGTACAGGGAGGTCGCTCCATACATTTGCCCGATCCTTCCTCTGCAACATAAAAATGCACTTCAGAAATGAATTGTTTACACTGTGACTCTAAGGTGAGGCAAAAATCAAAACAAAACAAAAAAAAGCAGACAACTAAAAAGTATAAATAACCTTACTAGAGAAATTCAGGTAGAACAGCTAGGCCTACAGAAAATAAAAGCCTGCATTTTTATTTTCCCCAAAGCTATAAACGTTTCTATAATACACAAGGTGCATATCATAGTTTATCCACAAGGACAGTTATATTATCACTGAACATTGTAAATATGGAACAAATTAAAAGTTTCTAAGAATATCTCTATGCCAACAAATCATCTAAATGTAGAATATGAAATTTTTTTAGATTAGTATAAACATATCCAAAGAAATTACCTGTGGGTGTGGAATAGAAACAATCACAGGTAAAGGGGGAAAGTCCTGCAGAAAGCAGTATCAGCAAGTCATATTATATCCATTCAATATCAATTCACTTTGGTTTCTGCCCACTGTTCCCCTCATATTTTACATGTGACTTCTGGCTTGTTACTATGCTCTCTTGACAAACATAAATTCAGAAAAATAAGAACAAAGAGCATAAATTGGCAAAGACCGATCCTACCTGAAAATTGGGAGTTCTCATCACAGTTTATGCATTCTTTAGCTCCTTTCTCAGAAAAGGTGTTTCTGGGACAAATTTGACAGTTGAACGAACCTGGCTTGTTGCTGAAGGTGCCCGGCTTGCATGGAAAGCATTCTGATGTATATGCCACCCCTGTGTGGTAAGCAAAACAGAGTATGGGAGGGGGAGGCCAATAGAAGCAAGCAAATCCACTCTTCTTGCTGCTTCCACCAGAAGTGACAGGGAAGATACAAAAGTAAGCTCAGCCTAAATCCTTTATCCCATTAATTTAACACCAAGGGAGTATTTACTGTGTGTAAGAAACTGGGAAAGATACTACATTAAAACATAGTAAGTACAGCAAAGACTTAAACAAGAGAGTGAGATCTGATAGAGGTATAGTAAATGTATAAACTGAGTTTATTTATCCTTATGATCTTTGTGGCTACCTGCTCCCTTTTTCTCCACTGATCAAGTCCCAGGCAAGAACTAGCAGACGCCTAGGAATGGCCCGACCTCACTTCTGGTGTGTAATTCCAGCCATTGCCAGCAGATGTCCCTCTGACTAATGAGTTAGCATCACAGGAGCAAGTACAAACAGAACATATTAAAATATAAGCCATTAATAAAGGAGAATCACTGCTTTAATTAAAAGTAGCCCTCACTGAGAATGAGCCATTCCAAGGCTTACTGGTTGCTCTCCTGGACCAGAATAGGCCCAGCTGGCTCAGAGAGACATGAGGTTTGGCAGACAGGTATTGTTTTTATGGATATAGCTGTAGCCTGAGTAAGCTCAATGCCTGGAGTAACAGACATTTCTCATCAATGTAGGCTCTTGTTAACATGAGTGAAAAATTGGCTCTTATTAACAAAGATTCTTTAATTTTATTTGGAGACAACTAAAACTGTCATCATGTTTACTTCTTCACAAAAATTAGGTAATTCATTTTAAAGGGTGCAACAAAACAAACAATTTGCTAGAAATAAAACCAGGGCCTCTAGACCTGTATAATGCCCATCATATTAATTCCTGTTGCATAAACCATGAGTCTGCCATGCCAACAACTTAATCAAACTTTAAGTAAGTATAAAAGGTGATGTGACTGCTAAAATAGACTGCTCTATAGTACCTTCAATTGTGATATTTTTTACCAAGACTGGCTTGACTGCCTTAGAACCCATAAGGATGCCTGTAGTTCTCCAGTATAGAATGTTTGTGCCTGATTTCAACATTACCTGTAAAGAGAAACACAAGACACCAAAGTCAGATAAACCATGCTACTTCAACCATTCCTAAAAGCTAATCCTTCGAACACCATTAATTTGAACCTGTTAATTCAGACCCAACCTCTCCTATAGTCATATTTTCTAAAAAACATAGTTGCCAACCCAAAAAATATACTAATAGATAAGAAAAATAAAATTCTTTAAGTCTGAGCCAAAAAGATAAAATGGTTTCCAAACCATTTGCATGAAGTCTTGGGTTATATTTAAAAGGGACTCCTTTCTGAGAGTGAAAGGCACTCAGTACAATTATATATTAATTGCCTACCACTATTCTTAAGTAGATCTTTGGGCACTGAAAACAAAAAGGCAACAGAATTAGTTTGTGTCCTTTTAAAATTACTTGACAATATCACTGCAACATCAACAGGAGAAAAATAGGATATTCTTACAGAATAATATGACTGAGCTCCATGAGTCTAGAATTAAAATGGTACTGCATCTAATGTGTGCTTATTTTGCCACTGGTATTTGATATTTGTAAATCAAACTACTTTCCTTTTATAGTGCATGTGAATTCAGTCAAACAAACTAATTTTAAGGGTTCCTTGCTTTCTCATTTGCCACCCTTATTGTATGTAGTCCCTGGCTGGCCAAATGCAAGCTGTATAAACATTAAAACATATCCAACTACTTCATCTTGCCAGAGATTCAGAAAAATAGTGCATTAAGTGCTTCCCCCTTGTATTAAGTTTTTATAAGTGAGGAAAGGATATTTTTCACTGAGGGTTACTTGCATTTTCAAAGCCCAACTGAATACATGCTTAGGTGAATGGATCTTAAGCAGTACTAATATCACTTCCAGGCATACAGATCAAAAAAGTACTCTGAAAGGGTACATTGTGTTAATCACTCAAAGACAAGGCACCTACTACCACACAAAAGGAAGGATGGATGGTCGCTTACTGAAACAGCACAATCTACATTGCAGGCACCGCGCTAGGCCCTTCCCATGTATCATCTCATTAATCTGGCACGATTGCTCCCATTTTTCACATGAAAAATCAGACTCAAAGAGATCAAATCAACTGCCTAAAGAAGCACAACTACTACAAGCCAGGGTTAGGTTTTAAATCCATGTCTCACTGCATAGGGACAGTGCCTCAAATGGGAACAGATTCACAGATTTACCTGATAATTGCCTTCAAGCATTAGAGCTGTCCTGTGGAAAAGTGGATAGTTCCTTTACTTCATGCAACCAGAGAGGGCAGAACTCTGAACCATGGGTAGCAAATAGATAGGAAGCTAGTACAGACATCAAACTTGGCTGAATTTTATGATGGAATCAGTACAGAGACCAAAAAGACAAGCTGGAAAATCACTTGTTGGAAGAGTACAGAACAAGTGGATGAAAAGAACTCAAGGATCCTTCCAATGCCAAGAACCACTGACTCTCTCCCACATGACAGGCACATCTGTAAACTTACTTACTTGGAGGTTTTGTGTATTACTTTTGAATAGTCCTGTTTCTTTTTAATGCCCTTTTGAAAATGAGGAAAGCTGTAACATGATGAGAAAGAGAAGGGAAAGGAACAGAAGGAGAAAGAGAAATGTAAGGAAAAAATACCTAGAATGAACCTGCATTCATGAAACGCAGCAGCAGTTTCTGCTCTAACTAGAAATTGCATAAGTTAACAAACAATTTGATTTTCTTAAAATAAACTTTTAAAAACAGATTGGGAAAAAGAAGGAGAAGAATTGTGTGGGTGGGGGAGGAAGAGAACAAAGAGAGCCTTACAGAATGCGAACCCCATTCTCCATTGTCTGTGAGTTTCACCCACTTGTCTGCGGTGGTGTCCATCTCCTGGCACTGATCATTTTGAATCTGTGGATTAAAGACAAAGATCCCAGTAAAGCTTCTTAAATAATGGCTTTAATTAGTTCATTACTCAGAATAAGACAGGCAGCAAAAGCTTCTTTCAATACATACTACACAATGGCCATGAGTAATTCTCAACAAGGAAGTACATGCAGGGTTTTGTAGCCCAAGAGACAATTGCATAGGAGTGGTTCTAAATAAACCATCTTCATTATTGTAACAAAAAGGCAAGTACGGAGGGGGTAGGAGGAGAAAAGAGGAGAAGGAGGGAGGAGGGAGGGGGAAGGAGTGAAGAGGAGTGGGAGAGAAGGGAGTAAGAAGGGGAGACAGCAGTTAACACTGAAAATGCACATAAAGGAGAAAAGTCATTGCAAAAATCAGACCAATTTACCAAAATGTTTTGAAAGCTGTTCACCATGTAGGCCTACTAGCATAAAAATAAAGTTTATTTTTACAATATTTGGGGCAGCAAAATTTTTAATTAATAAATAAATGAAATCTGCTTTGTTTTCAATTCCCCAGAACTTAATCCAAAAGTATAGGTAAGTGGCTACAGCCAAAGTCAAAGTTCTGAAATTTTCAGAGTAAATGTTAATCATATGCCATGCCAGTTCAAATATCTTCAGCACCAAATACTTCGTGCTTTTCAGACAATTCTTCCAAAACACCTACAGGTTGGGACACTACATTTCCAGACTATGAAGAATTCATAGACATCCAAAGGTTAGGCGATCTTTCATATTGCACAACAGTCAGCAAATGAATAGGGTTAAAATAAGAGTTCATCCCCACACTTCTGCCAACATAGCTACTCGTTTCTTCTCTTAATCTGTGCCGCTTCATTCAGCCTCATGACCAGTTTAAAAACAATATTAAAATGTTCTCAAGAGACATTTCCTAAAGACTAACTCGAAAATAGATCCTTTTAATATCCAAACACCAGAGAATATCAGCTACCAAGGATATTTGCTTTCATTGAATTATAGTGTCAGATCTATACTATAAAGCATAANCATATTGCACAACAGTCAGCAAATGAATAGGGTTAAAATAAGAGTTCATCCCCACACTTCTGCCAACATAGCTACTCGTTTCTTCTCTTAATCTGTGCCGCTTCATTCAGCCTCATGACCAGTTTAAAAACAATATTAAAATGTTCTCAAGAGACATTTCCTAAAGACTAACTCGAAAATAGATCCTTTTAATATCCAAACACCAGAGAATATCAGCTACCAAGGATATTTGCTTTCATTGAATTATAGTGTCAGATCTATACTATAAAGCATAATGACTATTTTAATGCAAACATTGGGCCATTTTTAAATAGATATGGACCCTGAATATACCTTCAGTAGTCAAGGTTTGGATAAGCTGAAAGCTTTTTCCCAACTGATCAGACTTCATATGTTATTGTGGCATTCTGGAGACATGAGTTCTGTGATTCATTCTGAAGTAATAAAGGTATAACCTTTACTTATTTTATATATATGTTATCACTTATTATATATTACAATTATTATTATATAACCTGTTATTGTTATGTAACCTGTAACTTATTCTCTCTGGGATCCAGGTTCATTGTTTTTTTAAAAAGGGAGTTGGGGGTGGAAAGCTGAATGAAAATTTCCACATAGTTCTAAAATTACATACTTAATTGTTTTAAATTATATAATGTCCACAGGTACAACTGCATCTTTCAGTCTTCAAACATACCCTTTCCATTAACACTGGTGTGATGACCATGCAGCACTACCCTCTGAGTCAATAAACTGCAGCCTATGACGCTGAATCATCAATGAAAGAAGGAACATAAGCCTGCCACCCCTTCTCAGTCTATAACCAGAAGAGCACAGGCATCACTGAAAGGAAGTAATGAAACTTCCTGCCTTAAGAGTACCTTTATCAACAACTCTCAAAAGAACTTACTGGACAGCATAAAACTAATGCTTATTCTAACAGTTGTATAGTTATCTTGCTTCTTTACTTCATTTAGTTGTAGTAACATTGCAAATATATCCCATAGTATAGGAAATTATTTACTCTTAGAAGTGTTTTGCAAACAAAAGATAGCTTAAAAAGCAAATCTTTTGAATGTTGCTTAATGTCTTAAACTCATCAAAGGATATAAGAGCTAGGAGGCACCTTAAAAGGTCTTGTCATGTAAGCCACTTTACAAAAGGGAATGCTGAGAGCAGGAAAGTTAGCTTCATTGCTCAATAACACACAACTAGCAATTGCAGGGCTGAGACCTGAGCCAGAATCTCATGGCTTCATATCTAAGGCTCAGACTTTTATGAAAAATATCTCTTCCTACCAAACTCTTGATTTAGAAATGTCCATTCTCAAGAGCAATATAAATTTGTTTTAGAATTATTAGTACATTTGTTCCTGAAATCTGGACCACAAAACCATTTTACAAGATATTTTCCCAGTTCCTTTCACAACACATACCTCTTTAGGAATAAGAAGTCCATCAGAAAATATTTCCTCAAGCATTTGAGTCGCTGCCACAACAAATACTTGCTAGATTAGATAGAGTTTATATAAAATAGGTAAATAATTTTCGTAATAGCCTATTCAGTCAACCTATTATTTTATCCTGTATCTGTAATTTATTTCATTTCTTACCAGGGACATCAACTATCTCATCCATTGATTCCTATAGATTGTTCAAAACAAGAATCAGAAATAAATAGCCACTTCTACTTCTGAAATATTGCCCATGAATACAATTAAATAATTTAAATATTTGACATTTCAGAGAAGAAAAACTTAAATTAAAACCAAAATTGGTGAGGTGGAGCCAGGATGTCGGCGTGAGTAGAGCAGTGGAAATCTCCTCCCAAAAACACATAGAGCTATGAAAATATAACAAAGAAAAATCTTCCTAAAATAGAGACCACAGGACACAGGACAACATCCAGACCACATCCACACCTGCAAGAACCCAGC